AGTGCATGTGGAGGTAGGTCTGTTGGGACAGCCTGACAGGCAAGATGCTCAAGCCTGATTACCTGCAACTTTCCGTGCATTTTCAGCCTTCGAGAATGGACAGTAGGCACATTTGTCCAGGACGGTAGCTAGTGGTGGTGAGTATCGCAAAGATGTCTTCTGGCGCGTCAAACACTCGACTGAAAATCTCGGCCTTGGCAGCCTGAGAAGTATGTGCAAATTCTATTGTGCGGGTACCGCTGAACACGACCTTGATTACTGCAACGCGTAGAAATTGAGATCTTTGCAACAATTGGATCTCTACCAACCTAGGGGTCCAATGATGCGTTTGCAGAAGAAGTATGGACCTCTGTTAGTGCCAGTGGCAGAACATCGATATTTTAATAAGAAAAAAAGCCAAGATACTAGGATTTGACGAGCTTTGGAAAAAAGTGTCAGAAATGAAAATGTAAATATTCCAAGCAAATGCCAAAACTACTGACAGCACATGTGGCTGATGGACTTAAAATCAAGTGTAAACTTTCGGACCGATCCTTCAAACGTATGCTCCGACGGATTGACTTCAAGTGCGCCCACCGATTTCAAAGGAAATGAAAAATGGCAGCAAATCTGAAGACGACGGTGACTCCCAGTGTCGTTGGTGATTGGAAATGGAAAAGCGACGGGGAAACAACAACAGAGCGTCTAACCAACTATCACAGAACATGGGTCGCGTTGGTCTTTGAGTTCATGGACTACGGAGACGACTACACCTGCATTAGTTTTAGCCATGACAAGTGCAAGCAATGTGGCGCGGTACAGATTGACACAAGGAAAAACTAGTGGAAAAGTAGGAGTGGATGTCTAGCGCAACAGGGTTTCAGGCGAAGGACGAACTTCCTGTCAAAGCAGACCAACTCTAAGGGCAACGGAAAGTTCTATAGGCCCTATTCACTGACCCCACAGCGAGGATGGCCACAGGACGGGCGACACAGGAACTGAGTACGAAATGGGGAGGGTGAGAACTGGGAAGAAGACTCACTATTTCCGAGAGTTGTGGACACCCCATACTCAGATAGAGGGGGTGCTGCGACATATTGTGCACAAGCGGGCGACTGAGTGTTATCGGCATAAGGTGCACGCTGCAGCTGATCACGGACAGAGGACGAGGCAGGTTGTTGGCCAAAGCAGTTGATTGGCGAGCTTGACTTGAACGATGCGTGCGACTCGCCCTTTCCAATCGAACCCACTGATGTTCCCTTTATCGGAAGGTCAGGTGAGCCGGTGACTGTCTTCGAGGAAACCGTTGATGCAACTGAAGGCACTCCATGGAGCAGGAGATGGGCCAGGGAGGAGCGAGAGGTTGGTAGCTAAACGACGGAGGACGAATAATGCGATGCCAGGAGAGAAGCAGGAGAAAAACAAGAATCTGTTGATGGAAAGTCAGGAGTGAATGTGAAATCAGCTTTAAATCGGCGCGTTGATTTAGGAGCCTAAAACTGTTGAGATAACGCTGCTTACGCTCTAACCTGACTAGCAACGTCAATGGATACTTCGAAAGCAGCCAGTGCCTAGGCCAAGCTGGCTTGTTTTTACAGTAAAGGAAGTATTCCCATAAAATTAGCATTTGCATACCCTTTAGTTCAATTGGCTTCCCAGTCCACAAGATGCATATTTAGTCAGCATGCGGTTCCTTATAACAGTATGAATACAGGCCCTCGGTTAGACTCTGCATCTCTAGTATATACGGAGATAATAATGGCGGCAAATGTGGTTTGACGATCAGGATGAGATCCAGCCCGTTATTCGAAATGACTGTTTTAAAAGTTTTTAGTTTAAAAATGGAGAATTTACGAGTGGAGTAGATTTAGTAGAAATGCATTTAGGGGAATTTTGGTCCGGACTCAGACTCGAGAGAGCAGACTAGAACTGTTCACTGCAAGGGCTGTTTGTCAGAAAGGTCAAAAAGGGCATTTAAGAAAATTAAGTAACATGTCAGGGCAAACGTGCATGCATGAAAAGACTTACCAAATCGTTTTTGTTTGCGCCTAGTTGAGTGTTCGAAGGAGGAGGCTCAGTGAGATCGTTGTGAAGGAGACGCTGGAAAGCAACGACAAGGCGCATAAGTAACAGGGACTGCTGTGAAAAAGCGCGCCACGAAAATCAACGTGGGAGCTGAGGGTAGGCTTCAGTTGCCTTCTACTACGTGGGCTTAAAAACAAGCGCAGACAAACTGCTATGGGGG